AGGCTCTCGTGATCCAGAGGTGTTCGCCTCTCATTCAATAGGTCCTGAGTTCGAAACCTAAAAGCGACAGAAAATGTTCTTCTCACCTACTTTACAGTTCTCTAACCATGCTGTGTCGTGTGCTTTCGTCTTCACTTTCTCAACTTTCTGCCTTCTCCCCCATCCCCCTTTGCTCCCTTCTCTGGGCTCCTGACTCTCTCTGCAGCCTTTTGACTGCAACTCCTTTGCTCCTTCTTACTACTGTCTATCAGCCACAGACCAGATCTTTTTGTATGAAAGTTCGAACACCAGGCCTTCTCGGATAAGATCGAAAAATCTTTGAAGTCCCGTGTGCAAGTTGTGCACGTTAAAGATCCCTTGGTGATCCTAAAATCAATAAAAGTAGGCTTCGGTCGTCTCCCGGGCAAAAATGAAAATTCCTAGTAACTTAAAATGTTCAATGTGCCCCCGCGCTTATATGATATGAATATTATGCAGTTACAAGCGCCGTAAAAACACTTACCAAAAACAAATCCCCAACAACTCCACAACAAAAACAAAAGACTTCACACTTGACGAGCTTACATTAATTGGCTTCTTGGACTGAACTCTCTAGCTCCGGAACCGGATAACATCAGCAACCAGATGCTTAGACACTTACCCACAGAAACCCTCACACTTTCTCACAACATAACATTACATACAACGATATGTGGCTGTTGCACTCCTTTCCAAAGCCCTGACGACTTGCCACTGTCCTTCCAATACATGAACCAAACAAAGACAGCACGCACCCATCCAACTACAGACTAATCGTCTTAACGAGCAGTCTAACAGAAGAAGAAAAAAAGATTAACAGACGACTCATGTGGTTTGTAGAGACGATGGGGTAACTGAGCAGTTCCAGTGCAAATTCAGAAAAACTCGATCCACGCTGGATCACCTGGCCCGCCTGGAGACTTTAATACGCGAGACGTTTAGGGGAGGAGGTCACATAAACACCATCTTTTTCGACCTAGGGAAAGCATTCGACACATCCTGGCATTCTTAGGGACCTGCACACTCTCGACATACGCGGTCGGCTCCATGCCTTCATTGGCAATTTTCCTTACAGATTTGTGTCGGATCCCCCTTTTATATGGCTCGTTATATGTTGACGACAGTTTAATGTGCTACCGATCTAAAAAAAATCTTTAACTGTGATTTACGGACAGACTTGAAAAGTGGGCAGACGAAAAATATGGTTTCAAGGTTTCCCCGCCAAAGACCGTTGCAGTACATTTCTGTGTGCGTATGTGTGTGTGTGTGTGTGTGTGTGTGTGTGTGTGTGTGTGTGTGTGTGTGTGTGTGTGTGTGTGTGTGTATTTATGTGCGTGTGAGTGAGTGTGTGCCTCAGTCCACGCGTACAAAGACTTCTAAAAAGCCCAAAGTGCCCTAAAGATATTTCCAATACGAAAACAGAGATGGTGACGCTGAGTAACCAGACTGGACAAGGAGTTGGCCTGAGCCTTCTTCAGAATACACAACAACAACAACAACAACAACAACAACAACAACAACAACAACAACAAGGGAGGCGGTGGACCTGGCGAAAAGCACGCTCTTCGGGGCTCCAAACAATTCGAACGGATAGGCTACCACACGCACACACACACAACAACAACAACAACAACAACAACAACAACAATAACAACAACAAGACTTCAGACAGTTCCTCTAAACGTGAAAACATTGTTATCACTTACCACACGGCTGATCTCCCTCCGCCCCTCCCCCCTGCACCGTCTCCCAATTGCCCAGTGGTCACTCTTGACCAGCACATCTTGTTACCAGAGAAACCACAGCATAGCGTTTCTGAGAAGCTCAGTAAACCCTGATCTAGGGAGGTTGGTGGTTGGCAGAGTATAAACTTTACTCTCCATGTTATGAGACGTTCACATTGTTTATTCTGAGCACGATTCTCTCTTTCCTTCCAGGGAGCAGAAAATCCCCTTGACAACACCCGAGTGCAGTACTCTCATGATATCTACAATCCTTCCCCTGGGGAGCGCTACAGTACGACATGTACCCAGACTGTCCCTCTATCTAGTCTCGAGGCCGGTGCTATCACATTTACAGTCAACATGTATCCAGGGTTTACAGGAAGTAACACGAGTTACGGTGAAAGACTTTCCCCTCCTGTAGGCATCAGATTGGGTAAATTATTTCTTTTGTTGCTGTTGTTTTCTTTGTGATATTCGAGTTGCAACGCCGGCGTCTTTTTGAAGTCAGAACTCGAAATGATCAGACTCCGAGGAAATCATATTCTAGGAAGAAGGACTGGAATCTTTTTCGAACTCAAACCTCTTACGCCCCGGAGTTTGCTCAGTTTGATGAAGCAGCAGCAAGGTTGGTCGTGGTGGGTTATTGTGATAGGAAGGCACGGAGCTGCATTTCAGGGAAAAGAAAAGACAAAAAAGGAAATGGAAAAGGGATAATGAGTGAGAGTAAATAAGACAGGACAGAGGGGATAGGAGATGATAGGAAAATTAGGCCTATATATTTGTTGGGTGGGTGGGTATGAGATGGAACAAGTCAAGGAAAGATAGAAGGGATGATAATGGGTGTGGAGAGATAACACGAAGTGAGACATTAATTGAAACCAGTTTTATTGTGACCGTTACTGAGTTTTTCTTCATATTCTTTTTTTTTGGGGGGGTGTACACATTGTCGGGCTCTCTGTATGACAAATTATCTTATATATTTTTTAAATACATATACATTATATGCATAATACTATGCTTTATGCACACACATGTTCATTAATTTATATCTTTATAATTGTAAGGTGCATTAATCATTTTGTGCAAAATGGAAATGCGCAGCATAAACATTATTTTTTTTAATGATTCTTCTTCTTCTTCTTCTTCTTCTTCTTCTTCTTCTTCTTCTTCTTCTTCTTCTTCTTCTTCTTCTTCTTCTTCTTCTTCTTCTTCTAGAACCAGTAATAGTATCAATTTCAATATTACCTTGTAATATTAGTACTTGATAATGATATCGCAGTAATTAGTCAATACGGTCATTGCTGTAATTTTAATGATGATGGTGATTATCATAATCATATTACTATTGTTATTTTTCATTATTATTGGTAGTAGTAGTAGTAGTAGTAGTAGTAGTAGTAGTAGTAGTAGTAGTAGTAGT